GATTATTATATATTTCTGCTCGTGGGATGTTTAATCTCTATTTTTCGTACATATAAAAAATGTATTTCATGCAGGCCGCAACTTTTCACGGTATCTGTCTTGCATTATCGGAGTTTATTACATACGGCATTGTTTATTATCACCCTAAGTGACGTGAAAGCATTTCCTATATGCGTGATTGATATTTTCTTCGCCAGTGATAAATTACAAACAAGTAACATTACTTGACTAGAACTGGATGAAATTTTATTTCTTAAGTTTTATATATATATTGAATATTTAGCTAATTCTTTATTTATACGTCTTCGATTAACACAAAGATAAAAAATAGATATAGATAAAAAATGTAAAGAGCTGTAAGTGAAATGTTGATGAAACTTTAAAGATTAGCATACTGTATTTGTGATAGAAAGAAGACAAGTTTGCCAAGCGTGTTTTCACATTTAACAAAATCATATTTATTATTAAATATACAACTCATATAATATCAGCCGATGCGACTACAATCATTATCACAGCATTTGCAGGTAGACATTCGTAATGTCAGTCTCTTAACGAAATAACTTAACAAGAATTACTAATTATGGTCGTAACGTTACACAGTCGATGACTTTCGTGCTTTCGGGCGCAACTAACTAGCTTTTCAATGTTCGTGTAGGTTCGATTTACACAAGAGTATATTTTTCAATAAAAACATTTGTTAAATCCCACGATGCTGTTAAGTTATACCATATTCCAAGCTGTTAGCGTACCACATCTAACAGGACATGGCTATAAAGCTGCACAATATCGTTATTGTTAACTAATTCTACTTTTTATATTACTTTACTTGACATTTCTTTAACGTTAAAGTATTTCTATAACGTTCGTATCTAAACAGATATATTCCCAGGGAACACCGAGCATCTGTTTCATTGCACTTATGTTACAGATTCTCACTCAACAGTGTAAATGTGATATAACACATGTTGAGTTACATTGTTGAGTGAGAAACTGTAACATAAATGCAATGAAACAGATGCTCGGTGTTCACTGGGTTCCGAATAAGAAATGCAAATATTTCAATAACGCGATAAATTAATAATTATTTTGCAAAATTTATCTCTATTTTCCTCCTGAAATAGGATAGATTAATTGAATACGAAAGAAATGTATGAAAGCATAAATAAATGCAGACTGCCCTCATCTCTGAGATCTTATTTAGAGATGTCAAATTCAATATTATGCATATTACATAACACAAAATGTTCTTATTTATATCGAAAAGATCTATTAGAAAAAAAGTTGTTACGAGTACTATTCGTTAGTGGAAGTAATTGATATCACAATTAGAGTTCAATATCTATATATATATATATATCCCTCTACAAAATATTACCAAAAGCAGTTAAGATGCTAACCGAAATGCATGAAATATTTAGAATAAAATATAACGTAAAATATCGATAGTTGAATTTTTAGTGTTTTTGTAATATTATAGATGTAAACTTTGTATTTAATACGCCCAGAGGGTTGACGAAATTTCCTAACTTCTCGTAGTAATTCATTGTGTTTTTAGAAACGAAATTAACAATACAATTAACGACATAATATCAAAGATTTCATTCGTCGGCAGACTTCGTTAGTTTGTCGAGGCAATCATATGACTTCGATTGTGTGACATATCTGCAACAGAAAAAAACTCTTCGTTAGAGACACTTTATATATTTATAATCATTACCCTAGTGGAAAAGGCTAGAAATGGATAGAAAATCTGACATCCATTTCAATCTCATTTCAGTTTCATTTCTTGAACCCTTTTTTGACATAGAACGGAACAAAACCTTTTTATTTGGAATTAAGAAATTCAAATGGATTGATATTTTATCTATTATTAAGTATATAGAAGAATAAAGTATTGAAATATATTGAAATGGATAAAAAGTTTCGTTTTGGCATAGAACAGTATTGAAGCAGAGTGTAATTGAAATGATTCGTTGCAATAGAAATATTTTCCAGAATTTAAGATTAAAATGAATAAAGAATTGAAAAGTATTCAAATGGATAAAAATTGTATGCCATTTCAAGAGTTAAAGAAGATTGGAATTGAATTTGGATTGATTTATATAAAATTTCTATTCCCGTTAAAACAGAAATGATATAAATGAATTAGAATCGATTCAACTGAATAGAATTTCTATCCCCTTCTATCCTGTTCTATCCGCTATTTCCACCAAGGGAATCAGAATCGTTTAACGACGCTGAGAGCAAGAGGGAAACGAAGATGGTAAATAGGGTTGTCATGGGTCGATTGTTAATAAAGCAAAGCGAAAACTAACCGTGTTAATAATTAAATATTAATTTAAACTGCATGGTTTGCATGACACAACCGTTTATGCGTGGGGTCTCTTCGGGCGACATGAAGTATCAAACTCCCAGCTTTGGCACTCTTGAATGTCTGCAACGCCTTGGCGTGCGTCAGCCCGTCCAATGGGGAGCCGTTGATCGCCAAAATTTCGTCTCCTACTCTCAAAGTACCTTTAACATTACAGGTAAACTACTGCAGACATTGTTTCCTTCCTATATTATTACGTCGTATCTCTTTTTTGTTTTCATTTTTAACTCATTCATTTCATTTTTTAAACCGTTAATGTTCCTCTGTAAAAAATACAATACCTTCCTCCGCGGCTTGTCCACCGGGCATAATATCCTTCACAAAGATACCCATGCGTCCTTTATTGCTGTCCACGCCGCCCACGATGGAGAAGCCCAATTTCTTCGGTGCGCCCTTTTCCAGTGCGATCGTTAACAGATCGAGAGATAAACTGGACCCTCGTCGAACTGTGGGCGCCTCGGCGCTTCGTTTCCTCACCACCTGGAACTTCTTCATACCCGTCATCTTTTGGAAACCGACGGTCGCGTCGTCAACGGCGATTCCGGCGTTCGTCGAAGAGGACGCATCGTCGGGGGGAACTGATAGCGGTCCGATTCTTTTGCTCTTCGAGATCCACGCGTCGGGGTCGCTTCGCGTTCGCGTCAAGGCGTTGCCCCACGTGTCGCCGATTTCCTCGCCGAAGGCCGGATTCGGTTCTCTCGCGATTTGCAGCTCGACCGTGCCGACGCAGCTCCGCAAGGCGTTTCGCGCCTCGATCATCGACATACCGCGTATCCTGCGTCCGCAGATTCGAACGATCTCGTCGCCGATGCGGAATTGCTTCGACCTAGCCGCTTCGCCGTTGGGATCCATCTTGGCGATCACGTAGAATGGTCTGGCCGCCTCGCACCGTTCGACCGAAATACCGAGACCCGCCGCGTGGTTCACCGTCAGCTTCATCGTTTTCAATTCGCGTCGTACTAGAATCTTGTTAACGACGGTGACGGGCTTAGTAACGGAAGCGATAGGAACCGAGGGCTTATCGCTCATTAACACTTTCTTCGCCGCGTTCCTCGTCACGCCCAACATGTCCAGTTCTAGGGTGGAACGTGATCTCTTTGGGCTGTAGTATCGCAAATGATTGGTCATTGCATCGGACAAGGGACGGAGTTTGTTAGCCGGCGGACTATCTTTACACGGCGATGCGGCGTGCTCCAGGAGGAATAATACGCTAGGGCTTGAGCATTTTCGACTTTTCGACCTCTTGTCCTTGAGTAAATTCTGAAATTTCGCCATTTGAGATACGTTAGAGTGATTTTCCGGTGTTGCACAAAGTTTCCTCTCGTCGGAATCGACTTTCGTTTTGGCGTCGTCTTTCGCTGCGGCGACGACGCCACGCGCATCAGCATCGTCACATTGCGGTGTAACGTCGGGATCGTTACGGTTGGTCACTTGGAGCTTCCTTAAATCCTCGCCGAGCAGAGCGGATGTCGTGGACACTGCTTTTATCAGAGCCTCGCGAGACTTGGGCAACAGGTCTGCTTCCTCCTTGGAATAAATTCTCGTTAAATCTGGCTGGTACTCTAGAAAATCGGCGAAAGTAGCTTCATCGCAGCTATCCGTGTCGCTGTCCTCCTCCGACATCAACGTGGTTTGAGTTGTGGTCGAATCATCGTAGGAGGGATTGCTCGCCGCGGCAACGGTAGCGGCATCAGCGGCGTCGACCTTCTCGATCTTCGAGCCGCGCGTTTCCGGCAAACGTGATGCGGCCGCCGCACCCGCGTCTTTCTTTCGCAAGATACTACCGAACAGCGACGCGTCAATGCCGCGATAATCGTCCGACGTTACCGAGAAGCTGCGCGGCTTCAACAAGGGCGGCACCGCAGATTTTTCGCTGTCCGGCGAATCCGCGCCGGCTCGCGTGCTATCCGAATCGTAGCCGCTTTCGTCGCAACCTATGCGCAGATTGCTCAGCAGATCTTCCAGGCCAGTCAGCGAGCCGGCGGATGATCCTTGGGAATTTCCCTTAGCCTCGTTGACACTCGCGTTACCGGCAGCTCGATGATCAGACGTCCGCGTCGGGATTCGGCTCTTCGCCTTCCCCAAAGACTTCGAACTCGCGCTCGTTCCAACGTTCTCCAACGTTTCCCTCGTGAGCATGTCGCCCTGGCGCGTCTTCAGGATCTCGTGATTCTTGAGTATGTCATCCAGGAGTCGCTGCTGCTCCTGGAGATCATGTATGCTGCGACTCAGCTGCAATTTCTTTTGGCGGAGGAACATTTCCCGGTCGACCCTAGCGAACTCGCGATCGTCGAAATTCTCGGGGCAGATACCTCGGAACGGCAGCTTCCTGATCGCTCCCTCGCTGAGAGTTTTCTCCATCGGGTAATGGCTAACGTTGACCGCGTCCTCCTCCTGTATTGTCGCGCTTCTCGCAGAGCTCTTGCCGTTAAGAGGATGATCGCCGCCGGTCCTGAAGAGATTTCTCAGCGACTCCACTCTGGGAATTCTCTTTGGCCTCGGGAGTTCGCTATTTCCCTAAAAACGTTGATTATTCAGGATGATATCTCTCGGGGGAAAGAAGCATTATTCGACGCGTTCTTATTGTTAGCTGAGGCTGAGGCGTAACGCCAAGCTACCGTTATGTTATTGTGTCTTTACGTTTTCTCTCTCGTTCGAGATTTCGTCCTGGCCGCCTCTCCGATGTGGGCTCCACCGTCGTCGCCGGCGCGGCACCGAGAGCAATTCGGAGCTGTCCGACCTCTTCATTTGATCCCACCGTCGTCCCATCTTCCGTCCCCACGTTGAGATTCCTTCCGTGCGCGGGGCAAAGGTGCAAATCGATTTTAAGATGTCAATCAAGATTAATCCTATCATTGTTACTGCTTCGCGCGAGGTTTACGGCGCGTTACCGCTGGTACCCTATTACAGTCCTACCTTTACGAGTCAGAATAGAGGGGTCCGCCGATTCCTTCGGCGCGCCGGTGTCTTCCTTGACCGGAGGGGCACCTTCCAGCCTGTCGTCTGTCGTCGATTTCTTCTCCGATCTCACGGGCGCACCGCTGCCGGCGTTATTCGCAGCCGCGACGTCTTGGGATATGGGTACGGCCGAGACGAGCTGCGGACTCGTATCGGCCGTGTAACGTTTGAATAGACGCATCGTGATGGCGCGCTGCAATTAAAATTATTCGCTAACTGTAGCATGGATCGTGATATGCCTTGAAACAGGCGGAAATATGGGTAATGAATTTCTGCAATTAATGATTACATATTTCTAATAGCTGCGTAACTATTGTTTTTTTTTCCATTAGCATTTACAGTTGGTGCCCATAATGTGAAAGATTAGACCGAGAGAAGCGCTTCTGAAATTTAAAGATCCTACGGTATCGGCTACGGTAATTTCTACGGAACACCCTGTAGGTATAGAGCAAGAAAAGCAAAGAAAGGAGAGAAACGTGGAAGAGGGAAAGGTGGAGGCCCCGCGAGACAGCCTCGGACTTCCTTGAAAGGTTTGTCGTCGGGTGACGTCAGCCATCGTCCACAAAACGGTCGCCGTCGCGCATGTACATCTGTCGCTCGTCCATATGTGTGTTCCGCGTTTTTGAATAAAAAAGGAGCGAAATGAACCGCGAGGAGAGCATCGCGGGTAGGTAATCGGACAATGAACCCGTTTACACGTTCTCTTCCTCCTATTGCTCGTGTGGGTTTTTTTTTCGCATCGCGCCTGCACCGCGTCTCCTCTCCCAGCGCGATTTGCTCCATCAGGAGTTGTCTCTCGCGTCTGCTGAACGGATGTAATTATGTGTTGCACGTTACAATACTGCTCGGCGAGAGGACCGGTGAGCGAAGGAACGAATAAGAATATTGACGACGACGTTTGGCAATTGATAAAGTTTCCAATGTGCAGCACGAGTTTAAAACAAAACCCGTTATCGTGCTATTATCGCGCTGTTGTCTAAGAGAGGTTGCGCCTGCGTAAACTTAAGCTGCGGAAACTTAAGCTGAGAGCATTGGTCGAGAGTATATCTGGAAGAGACTGAAGTAACGGTTGATATCTCCGGTACGATCTACAAATTCGACGAGTATGCGGACAGCGAGAATCTACCTGGTCTTACGAACGGGCCGGACAAATTTCTTCGCTCCGGCGAAATTAATATATCCGTGTTTACAATTGTAAAAGTGCAAGCTGAGTTTTCAGTCATCAAGCTATGGCGAACGGACAGGAGTCGCCAGCGATTTTTATTTCACAATTCTCGCAGGCAAGGGCAATTTTGTATTTTATTCTACAATGCAAAAGTATTACATTGAACTGTTATTGAGTCACAGGGAGCTACTTCGAAGTTGTTAGCATAGCGGAGCCAGAACGAAGTCCTAATTTGGGCCTGGATTACGACACAGTCTCTTCATTTTCCGACGAATTTGAGGCTACCAAATATGGTACGTAAAATTAACGCCCGCACAAATATATGTTACTTATTCGTATATATATATGTTGTATTGTTGCATAACGTTTTGGTTTTCTGCATTTGTCCAACCCTTATTCTATATCAAATTTCAGCAGGTAGACTTTGTAACAACAACCTTGTTGGTGCCTTACCTTTTGCTCTCGATCTTTTTGTATTGCCTTTTCTTTCACTGTACCTCTTTTGCAATCAATTAAAATTAAATATATATATATATCTATATATTTTTAATTTTAATTTATATATTGCTGATAAATGCGAAATAATCCGTGTAAGCCTAACAGGAACTCTAGTCGTCGTAAAACTATATTTTCAATGTAGGAGACTTAACGGTTCTGCACCGTAGCCCGAAAGTGTGTGTTATTTGCTTAAATATACACGGGATTTGTATAAAGTCAGTACGTACAAACGTATAAACAGAAATAGAGAGATGCGGGTGTCCGATAGGCTCTTTGCAGGGCTCGCTCTTTCACGTCTGCGCTGTTAGGCACACCTGACTCTCGACCAGCTATGGGAACCTGCCGTGCCTTTCGGGAAGCGTGCGGTACGCGCCAGGGAGCAGATGTCCATTGTCCTTGCGAACGAGGGACAACAGCTACCCATCACCCTCATCATTTCATCGATTATACCTCTGTATAGCTCTGTATAATGAGAGACCGCTAACTACTTTTCTTTCTTTTTTTTTTATACACACACGTATTTGTGTTTAGGGGTCTGGTTCACAAAATCCGGTTCTCGAATATGGCTCGGCTATGTTCTCGGATCTGAAAAATACAAGTTCGATTTGCGCGCGACGCGACGGGCCGGTCGAAGGTGGGACGAAATCGGTGTCACGCAGCAACGTAAAATGCGGCAAATATCTCGGCCGTTCGACAGATCTCTTTCTCTCTTTTCTCTCCTCTCCCTAAAATTGCCGTATCCCTCTCGTATATATTTTTTTTTGCTCTTCACCGAACAGCGTACCGTAGAAAGTAAAACTATCGGCCCCGAGGCCGCGTGTCCTCGAACGCGCCGGTCTGGCATACATACGCGATTAACGCAGACGGATCGTTTTCCGAACGAGTTGTGGATTGATAAAAAAAAAAAAAAACTGTCGATCGTTACCACACTGAAAAAAATATCCGATTAGATATAGTCCGTTAATTCAATGACACAGTAGCAAACGCCTAAACTCGATTAAATTGTATGTCCTGTGAAAAATGTGATTGGTTTTTCGATCAAGTTTTATCGGTGACTGCATTTCATCGAAGAAATTAATTTCCATAATTTAATCGGACAACTTAATTGGACAAATTAACCAGTGGAAACACTCTTTTAGGACCGGTTGCTCCAACCTCGTGGGTCTGGTTTTTCATTTTCTGGCTAACTGCTAGCTAGAAGTTAGTCGATTCTCTGTTTCTTCTTACACGGAGAGAATTTTCTCTTAAAATTTGCCCTGAAAATCATGTAATCGTGGGACAACATGGCATTTTGAAGAACTTTATGAATTCTTGGAAATTTTACCATACATTCTACTAGTAAAATTTCAAAAAAAAACTCGTAAAATTCTTCGAAATATCACGAATTATCCCACGATTACACAATTTTAAGGAAAAACTCTCTCCGTGTAGATAATAATATAAAAAACATAGGACGTCGAATAACTGGTTAACAGTTAACCAGGAAATGAGAAACCGGGTCTCGGTAAGTGAAATTATATGTATGTCTTTGTTTTTCTTTCAAATTAGACAAAGATAGACGTACATACCTTTGGGAAAATATATCTTAGAAAACCTTAAAATTTTACTTTGAAAAAATAAGAAATATGAAAAGTAAATTTAGACAGTTTTATTTAAGATGAACTTAAAACTTACTTTAAGAATTTAAATCAAAACTTTAAGAATTGTGAAAGGTATAATGATTTATGATACCGCGTTTTCTTCTCACGAGAAAGTGCTTTGCCGTGTGGCCCTCTAGCGGGAATTTCGACAGGCTTGGCTATCTACAAATTACTTTAAGTGTCCAAAATTACTCTAAAATTTCTTAAGTAAAGTCTTAGATTTGAAAGATTACTTTAAAAAATTTCAATTTTATTTGAAGTAAATTTGTTCCAAGGGTACAATTCAACTGTTAGCTCATCAAGAGGTTGAAAAAACCGGCGCTTAATCGGCTTATCTAATGGAAATTTTTCTCAGTGCACCAGTCAAGGAGAGCCGGTTAATTAATTTCATTAGCAGACACATTTGCAACACAGCCGTACAGTTTTACTGGATACATTTTTGTCAGCGCATTCAAACTACAACTGGAGAAAAATTGGGCGAAGTCGGTGCGCGATATTAAATTCGTCCTCGCGACGCGACGCGAGTGAAAATGACGGGGGTCGATATATAAATGCATGTAATCATGAGTACCGCGCGGAGGGTAAAAAACGCGTCGCACCTGCGCACCCTCGTGTTCTCGCGCGAGGGGTAGAAAACTCATTTGCCAACGCGCCATTATCCTCGCGATTAAAATTTTACAGAGTAGTGCATTAATGCATATGCATTGGGACGTCAAGGTAAAATTTCCAGATATTCTCCCCGCCAATCGCGCGAGGAATCCCTTTGCAAGTACTTACACTTATTTAATTTCCCGGCTGTCCGTCCAAGTGTTAAGAGGGGCGTGTTTAATCCGGCGGAATAAAGCGGGCGTACTGCATAACTGTAATGCATCTCGCGCATCGCTTACGATCTCATACCGTTATCTTGAAATAGGTGAACTCGCGGTGCGTACACAGCGCGCTGCGTACGTCTGACAGTTAATTACGTTGTTTGTATTAACATTGTCGATACGATCGCACGAAGTGGGTTACGCCGTGACTCGCGACATTAAAGCCCGCCGCAAATGACGCCCCGGGTGCTGCTAGGGGAAAAAAACAACACTTGCGATAGATTTTACCGCGTTTGTTATATTCGAACGTTATCACACCGACGACGCGTGCTGCTTTATTTGCTGATGCGATGCTTGTATCGAGTCGTGGAGCATTTATCGTATCAATGTGCCGTTTGAAGGCGCGAATATGTAATATCGTTACACGCGATGTAACGATATTAACGATATACAGCGTGCAATACGTAGCGTAATGTATGACGTTGGTAACGCGATTTATTCCGTATACGCACTTGGCGCGAGCCGTGTACGCGATACACCGTGAACATCAAGGTACCGCCGCTTCTTGGTCACGGATCATTGCCACAGTGAAAGGGTTAACGTTATTCAGGCATTCGCTCAAGTATATTATGAGAAAAATGTAATGATACGTCGTTAATAACGCCGAGGATGATCTAGAAAGCCTTGACCCTCGCCCGCAATATAATACTGATGAATAATAATTACGTGAACTTGCATGCTTATTTACCGCGTGATTTCTAACTGTGAAGAGTACATGCACGGGGAGAAATTTCCTTTAAAATTTATCTTGAAAATCATGTAATCGTGGGACAACACGGCGCTTCGCAGAATTTTATGAGAGCTTTTTGAAATTTTACCATACCATTTCTCTAGTAATTACACTTAGGGCCGACTTTGCAAACGTCGGTTAACTGTTAACCAGAGTTCAGTCGACTCCCTATCTTTTTCTATCTTGTTACCTAAGAAGAGAGTCAGAGAATCAATTAACCTTCGGTCAACTGACTGCTAATCTGTGAAACTGGCCCTGTATACATTTTGTTAGTAAAATGTGTGGTAAAATTTCCAAAAGCTCTTCGGAATAAATTTTAAGAGGAAATTCTCTCCGTGTATATGTATAACATGTGCATTTAGCTTTATGCACTGCGGCCATCACAGTAACTCGATACCAATTGTTTTATGTCAACGTATTTTTTTTAAAGAAAAATCAAACTATCTGCAAAAGTTTGTAGATAACCAGTTAGCGCCTGCTATCCGCGAGCTAACTTCACTTCAAATAAGTGTGTGACTAGAGATTCTCGATAATGAAATTAACAAGTAAAGTAAAAGGTGGGCTTTGAGTACGACGCAGTTAACAGTGCAATTAACGTAAGTTAACTTCCTTATTTTTACGTTGCTTGGTAACTTTAATTTCTTTAAATTCATCCTACTCGTCGCGAATTTGACTCGGACGAACGTTAAAGTTTCAGGTGATCCCGTAAAGCGCTTCAGTACGTTCCTCTGTACAACAGGGGATCAATTCCGTGTCTTGCACTATGGTGAAGATGCTAAAAGTCTCTTTCCAAGTGGCCGAATAGAAAGAATGCTAAGAGTGAGTGGCTTTGTCTCTTTCTAAAGCTGTACGAATTGAGAACTGCGACGATCGAAAATTTTGGATTATCCTTCTCTCGGCGCCAATTTAGAATCTGAACAAACAGAGAAATATGTCGGGACAATAACAGATACGTTCTGACTCTTAGCTGGGCTAATATTTATTTTCACGAGCGAGGTACCGTAATTTGTATCGCGGGTAGAGACGATTTAGTGGAATAGATTTATCAATACCGAAATCTTTAGTCAAATCGCAAAAGCGGCAGTTTCTGGCGTAGCATCGTAGATACGTGATTTACGTATACGTACACTCCAAGATTAATGTGTCGGAGTTCTAAATTATGCGGAACTGGCTGTGTACATGACGTTTGTATACGTCAATGTCCTCTGAGGAAGCATGTGTTGATATCTAGCGAGCGTTAAGCGCGGCTGAATGTGAACCAGCGAATAGCAGACGAAGCTCTCCAATAGTATAGCTCGCGCAAGCGATGAATTCCCTCGCATAATTATGCGACTGTAAAAATTACCCGATTATTCCGGGCTAAGTGGAGAAAGTGGCTCCGTTAGTCGATTTAACGTAACATCGTCTATCGACAGGTGAGACTGGGTAGCGCAGAGGTGCCGTGTGTGTGCAATTGTTAATTACGAATGTCCAGATGATAGAGCAGGCGGAGAAAGAGGGGACAAAGGTACCGCAGACAGACGTGCGAAGACTTGCCTTCGATCAGAGGACGTTATCGCTCCTCGACCGCGCGTACGTGGTCCCGCGGATGAGACGGTGCGTCATCGGCGAATCTCCGCGATCCGGATCTCTCGGCTCCGATGTTAAATTTTACCCGGGTTCGCGCGAACCCGGAAACTAGCGCGCCGACGAGCAAAACGTTCCACGACGGACTGCTATATACGACCGTCCGTATCGCGCCGGTCCGCTTCGGAGGCGACTCGCGAGGAACGATGCACCGATAATCTGCCACCGGCCGACGAGAGGGAAGAAGCCCCGCTCGCTCGCTCGGGCCCCGTACGAACGTTCACCAGCAGGACTCGCTCGAAACTGCCGGTATCACGAGAGCAGCGATTACCTGTGGCGCTACCTGCACGGGGATACGATCCCTTTACCTCTCCCACTCTCTTTACATTCGTCCGTTTCTTCCCTTTGACCATTATATTAATGACAATGCCCCGCAAGAATGTTAACTGGTAGCGATAATGGCGCCGTTCTTATCTCTTGTCCGAGCAACCTTGGACTCCGTTAACCCGCAGCTCTGTTTCGACGGGGCGGATAACGAGTAACGCTGACAAACGGCGGCGCGTTCGATGGTGATAAGAGAGAAGGGAGCTTCCGGGGCTCCCCCGAAATGCCGACGAAACCGTGGACAGAATCCGGACACGGTAAGAAGCGCCGGTAGCGCTATTTTCAGTAAAATTATCGCGTATCGCTCGCACTCCGTGCAAAGAAGTCGAGCAAGTGTGAGAAGAACCTGTGGGGAGAAACAGGTTCTAGATTCATTCACATCTCTCGCCGAGGCCTTGAGCCGGGCAAAAAGCGCTCTCTCTCTATGCGATTCCTACATAGACTCATCTTGTAATCCGCCATGGCTACTGGCGAGCTGAGAAAAGCGAGAAGCGAGCGGTCGCGCGGACGCAGGGTGTCCGGTCGAGGGATACAGCCGGGGGGAGAAGAAAAAAAAATCTGGTTTCTCTCGTTGCGGCAAGACGCCGACGTACGCGTCGGCTATGAGTCGAACACCCAGTACATTTCGCGTCGTCCAGAGGCGCTAATCCAGAAACGTAGGCCGCGCGAGTGGACTGCGAGACGCTGGACGCTTTAGGGAACACCTCGACCCACGTGGCCCACGCCTCTCTCGCTGGTCTCGCGTGTGATCAGGCGGGCGATAAATTAACGCCGGGAGCACGGACACACCGTGTACCTCAATGTCGCGTACAATGTAGAGCGTTGAGTCACGAGACGGCCAAAGACGTGCTGATAGCTTAGGCCCGGTCTACAATGAGTTGTTAGTCGTTAGCCAAAAGTCGGAACTATTTCTGGATGAAAGGAAAAGGACCGACCTTACGGCGTGGCGAGCCGATTCGAAAGACTATGCCTTTCGGGAGGTATTCTTCCGGGGAGCCTTCCCGAAAGTATTCCACACGTATGAAAGTCACTCCCTAAAAGCCTGTATCCACGATGCCTAGAACTTGGTGCGAGTTCTAGCTCCGAGAAATGTCTAGCCAATCAACTTACAGCCTTTATGGAATAGCTGCAAGTTGATCGGCTACACATTTTTCGAAACTGGAACTTGGACCAAGTTCTAGCAGACAGAGGTCTGTCTTAAGGTCCTTGGAGTGAAAATACCGCCATAGAGTAAAATATTCGCCCTATTGGAGTGAATATTTCGCTCCATGGCAGTATTTTCACCCGAAAAATCTTAGACCAGCGCGTTTGCCATGTATCGAAGCAGAGTTACTTCACTCGGAAAAGCGTATGCGTGCCGGATCCTACGGGCGACGCTGTCGAGTGAAATTAACAATAGTACCGGAACCCGGGATACGTTGGCCGCATCGTGGGTTACCTCCTTGAATAAATTAAAATCGACACCGAGAGGGAAAAGAATCCACCGCCGACGTCGACGCCGACTTATTTAGCAATCGGCGAACGATAAGCAATGTGAAACCAGTATCTATAAACCGTTCCCCCAGCCGTAATATCCAGCAGCAATCATTACGTCCCGCTGTTACGCGCGGTTTGTTGTTCTCATCGACTCAATCAGAAAGCTAATTAAATGTACCGTCGCGCCGTGCAATTAAGGAAAATGACCGGTCCTCCGAGACGCAAATAGTTGAAACGGACAACGACAAATGAAGTTGATCGTTTGCTAAACGATCACGATGGAGCCGTAATAGCTTCATAACTAAATGCATTTTTCAACGGGGGGAAGCGCCTCGATGGCGCGCTCGCGTCTTATCGCAAATTCGAAAGTGTACGTATCCGTCCACGCAAAGCTCCCGATTTATCACGCCCGTTCAATTTGATCTTATATCGCCGATGCCTCCCATTAGAACACGACGTATCAAATGCTCGGTTTCGATTTCTAAATTGACAATTTTACGAGAGAAAGTTAGTTTTAAATTATACGACCGCGCGTGACTCATCGACGCGCACAGATAACGTTATCTCATAAATATGTATGTAAGAACGTTTGTCACACGCGCCTCCCGAACAGTAAAATAGTGTTAAGGATAACCAGAATTTCCAGTCGTTTGTACTTGCTCGTTCGGACTACTCGGAGAAGAAAGTCTCGATTGCATCGAGCTCGGGATGCGGCGAAACGCGCGTGTGTCCGTGCGCGTACCGTCGTTGCAAATCGATTACCGGTCATTTCATTAGTGTTCCCCGAGTGCTCGACTGAACGATTGCTTCAAGGAATAACTGTAACGGACTTTTGCTAACCCTTGACTGTGGGCCGTCCCCAACGTACTTCCACATTCGCTCTCGACGATGCCCACGGTGGTAGTCATTTTACGGGCCAGCGACTCCTCGAATTATTCAACCGATGACGATCTTGATGACGCGGCCACCGACCCTATGTAAATAATCGATTGGCTATCGGATGCGCATGAATTCAGCCTTGCACAAAGATTACGTATATAACTGTTTTTGAGCAGAAACGCGATAACATCAAGTAGATTAGCTTGTAAGATCTCGGCGTGTTTGTCTTTGTCTTATTTCCTACCGCGTACGCTCCACTAATTTAACATTTTGCCGAGCGTCCCGGCAAAATTCTTAACCGCAGGAAGTCGACGCGCGCGGATGACATGTGCTCGAGCTAATTGGAGGCCCCCGTCCGAACTTGAACCGGCACGCGCCGCGCGACTTCGAGGGGCGTCTTCGGGCACCCTGGGAGCCTCGCAGGGAAAGAAGTTCACAAACCGTGAAAATTTAATGTTCTTTATGGGGAGGAGGGTAGGCAGAGAAGGAGTGCATTGTTAGCGCAATATCATGCGGCGTACCCTTCAATCCCTCTACGCAAAGTACACACAGAGAATAGACGGAGAGTTATAAAAAAATTATATTGTATAGAGCGAAACTTGACAGCTTGACGGTATATGACTTTTTGATACACCAACCGACGGATGTTAGCGGTCTGGTGTACTCGCCGATCTTTCGCTCTAATGGTTCCACCTGGGTTCCGATACACATATCCGTGGGTGGTCCGTCATGCGCTTGATAAGCCTCACGCCAGGTGCAGGTCGAAAAAAGAAAGGAAGCGAAGAGTGTATGTGTAACACTTCCTCCGTGCTTGGTGACAAGTTTCGACTATCAAACGTCTTCCTTAAATAAGTTTTTACATCTTGTAGCCCTTATCTTTTTTGCACGCGGTATTAATTCTACAGTCGCGCGAGGTCTTCAAAGTAGATATTATTTCTAAAACCAGCCCCTTCTTACATACCTAAAACCCACCTAAACGACGAAAATATTTCAGTTTTCGACGTAAAAGGTATGAACGTATTTTTATGCCGGGGTCTCTCAAGATCTCGTACATCAACTCGCATTACGAAAAACAGCGTGACGGCTGCACGGTTATTTAACTATTTCTTTCAAGAACGAATAAATTAAAGATCTTGCCCAACGCGAAGCGATCGTTTCTAAAAGAATTGACGAACACAAGAGAGGAAATTGATTGGCGGACGCAGGAGTGGGCTGAAGTAACATGCAGGAACAATTATCTGCGTTCGCAGTATCAACTCTACAGCTCTCGCACAAGGTCTTCAAAATAGATATTATTTCCAAAACTAAGTCTCTTCCTATATTCCACAGACCTAAAACCTAACTGAACAACGAAAATATGTAAGTTTTCGACGTGAAAGATTTTTATGGGAGATACATCAACTCGCATTACGAAAAAGAGCGTGA